TTGCTATATGCTGGGTACTGGGCAAGGTGCCTGGGGACACAGGTACAAAGAACGAAACAATCCCTACTGGAAAGGAGTTGACATTTCAATGCAAGAGACCAGTACATATGAAACTATATTCAGCAGAAATATAAAGCAAATCACCACAAACATCTAGACAATAGTTAAACTCAAGGTGGTTTGGGAGGGATGACACTGGGTATTTAGCAGGGATTAGGAAAGGCTCCAAAATGGACTAGGGTGCCTAGACTATTTGAGGAGGTAAGGAAGGAGTGCATTCCAGGCACAGGGTACAGTCAGAGCAAAGGCTCAAGGGACGGGAAATGGAGACCAGAGATGGAGTGTGTTGTGAGTGAGGAATAGAGAGAAGGCCAGTGTGGCTGGATTACAGAGTTGGGTGGGGATGGATAATGTCCAGTGAGGTTGGAAAGACAGATTGGAGCCAAGTTGTAAAAAGAAAAACAAAAAAGGCACCTTATAAACTAGTGTGGGTTAATTAGGCACTGGGGAAAAGCCTTACTTAAGGAGAGCCCCTCACACCAGGGAAGGTGCCTTGGACTAGAAGTCAGGGGGCTTGGTCCTAGTTCCAACAACTTGGCCATATTTCCTAAGGCAATTCCCTCCCGAAAAAATGATAGGGTTGGTCTTCATGATCTCCAAGAGCCCTGGGAGTTCAAAAAGTCTACGTGTCTACAGACGCCTTTGTTTTCATAAGGGATTGGCCTTATCCAGCCTGCAATTCTATGATAACATAACTAATGCTTCAAGGAGCCATGATGCCATTGGACAACATCGGCAGGTACTACTCCCTTCACTAACACACTTCCCAAGCTTTCTTGAGACCTGGAAGCCTTCCAGTATTGCTGTGACTGAACTGTCCATCACCCCCAAAGCTACCCTGGGTTGGTTCCTAAGCAGTAGATCTCTCTCTCTCTCTCTCTCTTTTTTTTTTTTTGCAATTGGGGTTAAGTGACTTGCCCAGGGTCACACAGCTAGTAAGTGTCAAGTGTTTGGTCTGAGGCTGGATTTGAACTCAGGTCCTCCTGACTTCGGGGCTGGTGCTTTATCCACTGTGCCACCTAGCTGCCCCTAGCAGTGGATCTCTGATGCGAAGCCAGGACTTGGAGCCTTTGCAGCTTGTTTGCCCCAATGCAGCCTTCTAGAACCTGGGGTGACCTCAATACCAAAACAAAATGTCAGAGTAAGATGGTGGAGGACCTCCTTTTCCAGGCTTATTACATCCTGCAGAAACTCCATAGTCCGGCCAACTGTCTCTCACACATGACACTTAGTTCCAATCTCCATTTGCCTAAGCTGGAATGTGCTACCACCTCAAAGAATCTCTAGGATTCTTTTTTTCAATTTAATTATTTCCCCCCCAATCAATGGACATTTATTTTCTCCTTTTGTACCCCCCCATTTGAAATTTTAAAAAATTAAGCAAAGGAAAAAAACTCTTGTAACTAATATGCATAATCAAGCAAAACAAATTCCCACAGTGTCCATGTCCAGAAATGTATGTCTTATTCTGAGAATTCCTAGCTAATTTCAAGGCTCTGCTCAAGCAAGCCCTGCTTCCACAGGATGCCTTTTCTAATCCCTCCCAAAATGACCTCAACCTTACTTCCCAGTGAGAATGTAAACTCCTTGAGGGCAGGGTTGGTTTTGATTTTTTTTTGTCTCTGTACTAACGCCACTGCCACCGCCGCTGCCACCACCACCACCTAGCACACAACAGGCAATTAACATATGCTGGCTTCAGGAGTGATCAACCATGACAAGAGAGGCATAATAATTGCCTACCTTTCTAATAACAACTTCCATCACTACAGCACTGGCTAGATTTAGAAAGCCCTTTCCTCATGAGGGCTTTCTAGTAAGGCACGTATGATTTGTTCAGTCTGGACTTGTGATCTCCTAGGCATAGGGACCCAAGGAGAAAGACAGTGGCTAGAGGAAATGAGAAGTTAAGTGATTTGCTCAATGGTCATACAAGGAGTTTCTGCTGAAGGACAGGTCTTGAGAAACTGAGGCTTCCTGACTTCAAAGCTGGTCCCTTTATCCACAAGGACCCTACTGCAAGTGATCATTGTCGCCACCTTACAGATTCAGACAACTGAAGAGCTCACCCAGTTATTACCTAGCTCTTCAGTCCTAGAACTGGGATTTAAACCTGCAGGGTCATCAATTTAGAGCTGGAAAGGAGCTCAGAGCAAATCCAATCTAGGCCCCTCCTCTCTTGGGCTAAGTTATTACTCAGTTTTCCTGTTGGAATCTAAGAACAAAGATTAACACAAAACAAGCTGGTCAAATCCCTACCCCCTACAGGGTCTAGCATTAACACCCTGCCTGCCCTGTCCAGGTTCCTGCAGAAAATTGGGTTGTCAGACTTGTACTCAATAAGTACAAGGGAGATAAAGCACTGCGCTTGAAGTCAGAAAGATCTGGATTCAAATCCAGCTAGTACTTCCTTATCAGTGTGACTCTGGGCAAGTCACCCACTCTCTGTCTCTGTTTCCTCATCTGTAAAAATGAGGGAAGACTCAATAGACTCAAGGTCCCTTGCAGCTCTAAGTCTAATGATCCAATGAATTAACTCATAATAATAATAGCTGGCAATGATATAGTGCTTTGAAAGCCCTTTGTAAACATAATTTCATTCCATCTTCACAATCCTGAAAGGTAAGTGCCATATACTAATAAGGAAATCAAGGCCCAGATGAAGTTAAGGCTTAACAAGGTTACACAGATACTAAGTTTCAGAAGTAGGATCTGAACCCCAGTTGTTGTTGTTTGTTTTTTTTTAAAGGGGGGGGGAATAATTGTTTGGATATTATCTCAACCCTATCAGAATATGAACTCCTATAAGGCAGGCACTTTTTTGCCTCTCTTTTAGCCCCAAGCACTTAGTACAATGCCTGGCACTAAGCAGGTATTTAATAAATGCTTATTGATTGACTACAGGATGGGGGTGACGTAAGAACGATCCTGAGGGCAGGTGTACAAATAAAGTAAGGCCTCCAGGAAGGGATTAAGGGGGCATCGGAACTGGGCTTTGAAGGGAACAAAGATGAGAAATACATTTGAGTGCTCAGACAAAAAAAGGCAGGGCAGAGAGATGAAAAGTGTGCACATCTTACCTATTTGGGGAATGATTTGAAGTACAGTTTAATAATAATAGTTTGTATCTACATAGAACTTTGAAGCTTGCTAAACACTTCACATATGGATCTCATTTGATCCTCACACCAACCTTAGAGATAGACGCTATTATTATCCTCATTTTGCATAACTGAAAACTGGGTTAATTGACTTACTCAGGGTCACAAAGCCATGAAGTTATCTGAGGCAGGATTTGAAATCAGGGCCACGCCACCTAGAATGGCACACAGGAAGGGGAACAGAATGAAAAGTCTCTCAAAAGATAGTCGAGAGTCAGACTGTAAAAGACCTAGAATGCCAGGTCCATGGAGGGGTCACTGGGCTCCACTCCAATTCAGCAAACCTCACAGAGCACCATGTAACTCACATTCTGTTTTGCAATGCAATTATTTTTTAAGGATTTTGTCTCCCCTACCCATCCATCCCACTAGATTAATCTTCCCAAATTCAGGCCATTAGTTCTTTGATCATCTTCAAATCACCAGGTATATCTGCTGAAGTTCTCCTCTGATACTTAAGTCTCAGCAGGTCCTACTCCAGCTGGTCAAGTAAGTGCCCAGTGATGGCCTGGGTGTGTCCTCAGAGGATCAGTCTAGCTATGCACAGAGAGGCCCAACAACAAAGGATTAGCCACAGTTACTAGGGAAGGCAGCCTACTTCTTATGAAGAATGAAAGACGGAAAGAAAGGGAGAGAAGGGGGGTGGGGAGAGGGAGAGAGCCTGTGACCCAAAGCACAAGGATGATGGCAAAGCCAACTGATAGAATCTCGGATCCCTGAAGGGCTGAGGTAAGTATCTCCAGCTACACCTAGAAAATGGGTTTTTAAACTGAACAGGTATCTAGTGGGTATCAAGAGAGAAGGAAAGAGATATTTGCACACAATCTTTACCCTTTGCTACCTGACTGGGCTTTGACATCACCCTGTCTATGCATAGCCTCTCCCCCTTTGCTCTGGTCTCTCCCACCCTTATTTTCACTGACCTACTTCCTTTACGGGCAAACAATTAGTATTTATTAAGCACCTATAATGTACCACCAATCTTGCTGAATGCTGGAGATACAAATGTCCTTCCTTGCCTTCAAGGAACTTACATTCTACCACCAACCCCATCTAGCCCTCTCCTTCTCCCCTTGATGTCCTCATCTTCTTCTACAAGGCAGTGTAGCATAGTACAAATGCTATTTATACATAGTATAAATACTCTGGATTTGAAGTCAGAAAATCTAGGTTTCATATAGTCTCCAACTGGCCTCTACTAATTGTGGCCAATCACAACCCCTCTGAGCCTCAGTAGGGCTGATATTACAAGTCTATCTCCTTCAGTCACCGTGAGGAACAAATGAGAGCTTATGGACATAAAAGCACTTCGTAAGCCTTAAAACCACATAATGGCTCTCATATGCCCTGTCTCTTCCATAAACTTGTTCCCTCTCACCTCTCTGTCTTTCCTTCCCTTTCTCTATATCCCCTCACAATGTCCTCAGCTCTTTCTGTCATTTCTCCCTCCTGGTCACTGTCTCTCCACGTTTCCTTCTCCCTTGCTTTTCTCCCCAACCCCTATCTCCCTTCCTCTGCTCCCCTCGGTCTCTTCCCTTAGTTCTCACTGAGAAGAGCTGAGATGTGCAGAGTGGCATTGGGCATCATACGGATTTAGCGCAGGAAGGGACCCTGGAGACCATCTAATCCAACCGAGGCCCAGGGTGTGACAAAGTAAATTCTCATATTTTCCTACATTTGGGTACTCCTGACCTGAAAAGAGGTGGCGGTGGGATGTGCCCAGTCCCCATTATCCTGGCCCTAAAGTCCCGGCTCGCAGACCCCAAATCTGACACTCACCTTCTTCCTGGGGTGTTTCCTGCTTTCTCCCACGCTTCTGTAGGGTTCCGTGCAGTGTTCGGTGCGGAGGGCTTACCTAGCCCAAGCCCAAGGCACCTCGGAAATTACAAGCCCAGTCGGCCTCTGCTTTTCTCTTCTCCCGAGGGCGAGGGCCCGGCCCGCCTGCAGCCTCCCCGGCACATACAGCGTAGACTTCCAGAAGGCGAGGACCGGGAGCAAAGCCCGCTGCAACCAATGTGCCCTCGGGGAGCCGGACCAAGGACGCGGGCTATGGGAGAGTATGGTGCCCTGGGACAGGGCAGCGGGTGGGGTCCCGGCTTCCAGCTAGCCGAAATGCCAAATCAAGGGGGCCAAGCAGTGGTAGCGGCGAACGGGTTCTGATTCGCCTAGGACAAGGAGGCGGCCGGGGTCAGAACAAGTTCAGACCCGGGCGGCGGTCCGGGACCGAGGGTGCGGAGGGGTCTGGCCAAGTTCTGACCCAGGCGACTGCTTCCAGGGGGCCGCCCGGTACCCGACTGGAGGCGCAAGCTGCGCCCGGGATCGCACAGCTTCCTGGATCGCTCGCACGTGGGCAGAGGCTGGCAGCACCCGGGCTCCGGTACACGGGGTGAGGGCAGTGGGCGCGTATCGGAGCTCAGGCAGAGTTGTGGCTTGGATGCCTAGGGTAGAAGAGCAGCCTTAGGGCAGGGGCGCACGGCGACGTCCCGGGCACGGGGCTGGCGAGCCGCACCGGGATCCAGGACCCAGGGATGGGGGAGCAGGCAGGCGGTGCGCTCCGGCTCCGGCTCCAGACAGAGGCGCGGGTGGTGTCCGGGCTTGTAGCCCCGGCTGGCGCGGGGCCGGGAGCAGGACTCTGCAGCCGATGCCCCAGCGGGGAACTCGGGCCAGGCGCCCGCTGCAAAATGGAGCGCAAGCTTTGGCTTGGCTAGCCTGGGTCCCGAGCAACCCGGCAGTCCTCCTCTTCTTCCTTCTCCTCCTCCTCCTCCTCCTCCCGGGCTCTCTCAGCTCTGCGCTAACGCGGTCAGCCAGCCACTCCGAGCCAGCTCCGCAGAGGTCAGAAACCGAGCCTTAGGAGCGCCGTCCGGGCCGGGAATGAAAGGAGCCGGGAGGACCCCGCCCGGAGGCGGGAGGAGTCTGCGCGGGGAGGGCGGAGCCGCGGCGAAGTGGGGGGAGGGGACGGATCGCCTAACCTGCCGACCCCCCTCCCCCAACCTTCTCCCGCCCCCCCCCCGCACGCGACTAGGGAAGAGGAGCCAATAGGAGAGCGCTGAATAGAAATGGGGTGGAGCTAGCACAATCACGTTCCCTGAGGGGGGGCGAAGTTGGGGTTGGGGGAACCGCCCCCCCAAAGAAATCGGTTAAGGGATCAAGTGGGGAGGCAGAGGAATCAATAGTCGGAGAACTTGGGGGAGGGGGTGAGCCAAGCAAAGAAGAAAAAGGGGGTTGGAGGAGAAGGGGCTGAGGGAGGAGGAGGCAACGAATAGGGGAGAAGAGGGAGGGGCTGGTGGGTTAGGGGAAGGGGTTTGTGTGAGCGAAGAGGGGAAGGGGTTCTCGAGGAGAGAGTGGGAAAGAGAGGGAAGGGCTTCGGGGAAAGAGGACAACGAAAAAAAGGCTGTGGGGGTGGACTGGGGAGAAGAGGTAGGGGCTGATGGTGGGGAGAGGGAGGTTTTAAAAGATGGGGGGGGATCGTAAGAGAAAAAGGCTAGAGAGTAGGCAAGGTGCTGGGGAGTGGGTAGGAGCTGAGAGAAAACGTCTGGAGGTAGCCAGGAGCTGGGGAGAAGGGAAAGGGGGGGAAAGGAGCGTGGTAAAGTGTGAGGAAGTGTTTGGGGGAGGGGACGACGGATTTGGGGAAGGGCTTTGGGAAGAGAAGGGCGTGGTTAGGTTAACCTTAGGGCAAAAAGTGCTTTTGCTGAGGCCCTCTGGGCTTCAGCCCCATTTTGCATTTCAAATTGCTTTGTAAATAAGTTAGGGGAAGGGGGGTGGGATGTTGTGTAACGTCCTGGGGACTCATGGGTTCTTATTCTGCCTGCAAATTCTAGGGAGGGTCGATGGGTTCCAGGGAGAGAGTGATGTAGGGCTGGGAAGGAGAGCTGTAGGAACCCCGGAGAGATGGATGGTCGGGTCGGATGGGGGTGGTGGAGGAAGGGAGAGGCCCCAAGCGGAGGGAGGGAGAATGGACTCCGGGGTCACCCTTGGGCCCTTCTCCTCCCTCTCTAGTTTTGCTTCCCGGATTGGTTGCTTCAGTGCCTTGGAAATGTTCGGATTTAAAGAAGTGGAAGAAAAAAAGCTTTTTAAAAATAGAAAACGGATCTCTGTTAGATCCTTCCCCTCTCCCAACTCTGTTCCTCAGGATTTCATTGCTGTTTAATAACTCGGTGCTGCTATAGGAAAGGAAATTCCACAGTGTGTATGCTTTTTAACAAACACCCCATTACAGCTCTCCCCCATCTGTCCTCCCACCTTTGGAAATGAACTCACTCCCAGAAGAATGGACAGGGGAGAAGGCTAAGACCAGCCCTGGGTTAGAGGGCAATCCACCCATATTCCTTAAGCACCTGCCTGCTGAACCGGGGACTGGGTTTCCTGGTACAATGAAAAGAATTTGGGTATTTAGTGATAACAGATCTGGGTTCAAATTCTATCTCTTAGAGGCAGGTAGGTGTTGAAGTGTGTAGAGCTCTGAGCCTGGAGTCATGAAGACCTGAATTCACATCCAGCCTCAGACACTTAACTAGCTGTGTGACCCTGGACAAGTCACATTTCCTCATCTGTAAATAGGGATGATAATAGCACCTATCTCACCTGGTTGTCCTGAGGCTCAAATGAGATGTTTGTAAAGCACTGTCTGCATGACCTTGAGAAAATCATTCTGCAAAACTGCGCCTTGGTTTCCTGATCCATAAAATGGGGGTGTTGGAGTATACAATCTCTGTAAAGTCACTTCCAGCTCTAAATTTTGTGATCTTCAATTACAAAGGGGACAGATATTTAAAACCTGGTTCCTGCTCTCTGAGAGTTTATGATTGTAGCTAGACTGAAACTAAAGTAGTTCCATTGTAATGAGTTGGCCCCCTGGGAAGATACAGGCATAGATTGTAGGAAGAGAGATTGGAGGCAGAATGATAAGCTAAGAGGCTATTACTTTTAAAAGTGTAGTTGAGTGGTTGGAATTAGGCTGGAGTTAGGGTCTGAGACTGTGTAGGGAGAAAGAGGGAGGGAGAGAAACTGATGAGAGATATATTACTAAGATGTAAGTGATGAGATATGGCAGCTGATAGTATGGGGGCATTAACAGAAACAGGAGAATTGAGGTTAATCCAAGAGACTGACTGATGAGTTCACTTTAGACCAGCTGAATTTGGAGTGTTAGCTGATCATCTTGGTGGAAATGGTTCTGTTCTTCCTCAAGTCAGTAAGTTTTTATTAAGTGCCTACTATGTGCCAGGCACCATGTTAATTGCTGGCTGGGGATACAAAGGAAGGCAAGAGACATCTGCCTTTAAGAAACTCGCAGTCTACAGTAGGGAGACAACCTGCATACAACTGTGTAAGAACAAGATATATGAGGGATGAAGTGGACCTTGTTGTTCATCCTTTGTTCTCAAAGATGTCTGATGACATCAGGAAGGTGATGTCTTGACTTGCAAGTGAATTGGATTTAAGTGAGGCAGAACTGTGCAAAGTCATCAGCCTCTATCCTTCAGAGTCACTGGAGTCCAGCAGCAAGATGTAGGTCAGGATGACTGGTAATGGCCCCCCAAAACAGACAAAAGTTTAGAGGGAAGGCGCTAGCACTAAGGGAATGGCTTCTTGCAGAAGGTGGGATTTTTAGCTAGGACCTGAAGGAAGTCAGGGAAGCCAGAAGATGGAGATGAGGAGGGAAAGCCAGTGAAAATGCCTGGAGTCAAGAGATGAAGTGTCTCATTTGAGGAGCAGCAAGGAGGCTAGTGTCCCTGAATTTAAGAGTACATTAGGAAGAAGGGGTACTGTGAAGTGCAAGAATACTGGAAAGGTAGGCAAGGGACATGTTATGAAGGGCTCTGAACATCAAAAAGAGGATTTTATATTTGCTCCTGAAGACAATGTAATAGGGAGCCACTGGTGTGAATAGAAGAGTGAAGTGGTCAGAGATAAGCTTTAGGAAAATCACTTTAGGAGGTGACTGGAGGATGGATTGGAATGGGGAGAGACTTGAGGCAGGCAGGCCCACCAGCAGGCTATTGTAATCAAAGTGTGAAGTGAGAGGGCCTGAACCAGGTGGTGGCAATCTCAAGGTGACAGGACTTTTTCACTGATATCCACACAAATAGGAAAGTTTACACTGCCTAGGGGTGTTTTTTGGTTATCATTTTGCAATTGATCCATTGACGTTACTTCTCCTGGATATTCTCTCTTCCCTAAATGTTGAATATATTTCATAGGATCATAGGATTTCAGAGCCAGAAAGGACCTTAGAGGTCATTTAAGAATGCCCTCCTCACTTGACATATGAGGAAATTGGTATCCAGAGACATTAAGCCCATTAGAGTGTGAGCTTTTTAAGACAAGAACTGTTTTTGCCTTTTTTTGTGTCGCTAGTGCTCAGCACTGTGCCTAGCACACAGTAAGCACTTAATAAATGCTTGCTTCCTACTGGATTGATTGCACTATTCTGTAATCCATTTCAATTCAATAAGTATTTATTAATCACTCAGTAGGTGTAAGGCACTATGCCAAGCCCTGGGATACTAAGAAAAATGAAAGTTTCCTTCCCTGATAAAATTCATAATCTTCTTTGGATATGGGGAGGTACAACCTGTACATAAATAAGTTCTGGGTAATATGAGGAGGAAGAGAGCAATTTGGAAATCGCAAAAGGCTAATGGTAGAATGTGGCACTTAATTTGAGCTATGAAAGAAGGCAGGAATTCTGAAAGCTGGGGGTGAAGAGGGAGTGAATTTCAAGCCGGAGGACAGTCTATGCAAAGGCAGGGGACAAGAGATAGAATGCCAAGGTCAAAGGGATAGCCAGTTATCCAATTTGGCTGGACCATAGGGTGTGCAGATGTGCTGAGTCTGGAAAGGCAAGTTGAAATCAACTTCTAGAGAACTTTAAATGCCAGGATGGAAAGTATGTATTTTATGCTAGAGGCAGTAGGGAGCCATTGATGATTTTTGAGCTGGGTAGTGACTTCAGATAGCTGTTTGAAGGATGGAATAGAGATAGAAGAGATTGGAAGCAGGGAAATTAGGAGGCTATTGCAATAGTCCAGACAGGAGGTAGTGAGGGCCTAAACCAGGGTGGGGTCTATATGAGTGGAGAGAAAGGGACATATAGAAGAGATGTGGAGATAACATCAATAAAACCTAGTAACTGATGGAATATGGGTGGTAATGAAGAATCAAGGGTGACTCAAAAGTTGCTGATCTGAGTAACTAGGGTTTAGGAGGGAATATAATGAATTCTGTTTTGGACTTAAGAGCCTTCTACTCTGCTGGCTC